GGTAGAAATTTATCAGGAGAAACTTCAGAGCTTTGTATGCTGTGGGTTATGGGGCAGTCACTTCATGTTGTGGTTTGAGGCTTGATTTCATTCTGGTTCTTGACCTCATTCAAGGGTTGCTACAAAGTCTGTTTCTCCCTGTGTTGGGCTATGTTGCTGAGGGAGTGGGAGGACACCAGGGTGGGAGCTGCCCGAGTTCATTCAGTAACCAGCATCCGGAGAGAGGCCCAGTCGGTGCGTCACCTCGAGCTGGCAGGCTGCTGGAGTGACACACGTCTGGGGAGTGTTTCCTGGTGTTAGCAGTGTTTGGTACATGAGAGCTGGAAAACTCAAAGTGCTTGTCAGCTGTTTCTTTTCTGTCGTGTAGAGTTTTCAGTATATGTAGTAGTTTGCTTGTGTTTGAGCTGTATCTAGTGCCACCTCACCTTTCTTACTGAAAGGTACTGATTTGATTGCTTATAACTTTGTCAACCAGATTGTTTATGGCCTCTCTTTCCTGGAGTGAGTCAACCGTCCTGTTTAAAAAACAGTGTATTGTCAGTTAATGAGATTGTCATTAGTATGCAGGGAGGGTAAGAGATGTTGGTAGATCAAGGATTGCATGCACCACTACGTTAACATTTGTGTAGAGACAGCACAGCACAGTGCTCATGTTGGTACCAAATATTGTTTCAGTAATTGATCATAATGTATAATTGACAACATTATATTGCATAGTGAATAATCTTAGCTTTTCATGTTCAAAAAATCTTCAGTAGAGAGATGTTAATAATTTCTCTGCTTGCAGCGCCACACAGAGTTGAAACAGAATGTCTCCTGGGGACACTGCAGCTTTCTAGAAATAAATGTTATCTGGAGAAAAATCCTTTCAAAACCCTGAAATGCAAAGCAGTTGCAGGCTGACTGTGCTGGGCTCTATGCTGGCTTTTGCATACTTAGTTGTTTCCAGGCTTGCTAAGTTGCTTTTAAAAATGTGCTGCATGACATTTGCTTGAGGGTTATGTGGAATTTGAAAAAGCATTTATTTATCTACTGCTTCACACCATTCTGACTTGGTTTGGGGTTTTTTTGACACAATATTTTTCCCTGTTTAGTTTCTGCCACTGCCTTCTACAAAGCACAACCTGTAATTCAGTTTATGTGTGAAGTTCTTGACATTCATAATATTGATGAACAACCAAGACCTCTGACTGATTCTCATCGGGTAAAATTCACCAAAGAGATAAAGGGTGAGTAGAAAAGTCTGTTCTGTTCCAGGTGACACGAGCTGATTCTAAGAGGCTCATTTTAACTGGAAACCTCCTGGTTAACATGTATCAGAAGGGCCCTGGAACTGCCAAGGGAGTTGCAGTTTGCCCTGCTTGTAGTTCTAGTCCTGCATGAAACAGTGCAGCTCTACAGAAAAAAAAGATGAAAAATGAGGTGTGTTCCCAG